ACAACATTAAGCAATCATGGGCTCAAAAGGCTCTCCATGGCAGGCATCCTTACGACCTGGCCCAGGATTTTGTTGACAAAACTGCGTCAAACAGCTGGTTAGATCGGGGATGCCTCTTTGGGGAGACGGAAGGATTCATGATTGCCATACAGGATCAGGTCATAAATACTAAAAACTACAGAAAACACATACTCAAAGATACAACACTCACAAATGACACATGCAGAAAATGTCACATCATGCCAGAAACTATACAACACATCACTTCTGGTTGCAAGCTCTTGGCACAGACAGATTACTTACATAGACACAATCAAGTAGCAAATATAATACACCAAGAGCTTGCAAAGAAACACAAATTGGCAGACATCCACGAACCATACTACAAGTATATTCCACAGACAGTATTGGAAAATAACACGCACAAAATGTATTACGACAGAGCCATAATCACAGATAAAACAATTTACCACAACAGACCAGACATCACACTCATTGACAAACACAATAAAATCACATACATTATAGACATAGCCATTCCAAACACTCACAATGTACAAAACACATGCACTGAAAAAATTAGCAAGTACACAGAACTCGCCCAGGAAATAAGGCATCTGTGGAGGATGGATAGGGTGCTTATTGTACCTGTTGTTCTCTCCTGTACAGGTGTGATACCACACACACTACACAAAAGCCTGGGAGCATTACAATTGAATAGAAATACATACATCACACTACAGAAGGCCACTATATTGAATACATGTCATATTGTTAGGAAATTCCTGAATACAGACACTGACACTGACACTGACACACTTATTTAATTTGTTTTGGTTGCTATGCCTTGACTCTGCATAGTACACAGCCACCGGTTTAAACCGAGTATTATCCACTAAACCCAACACAATAATAATAATAATAATTTAAATATAAATTTTCTTGTTATTACATAACTCTATTTTATGCATATTTTGAAAATGAATGAATTCTGTTCAAAAATTATTTTATTATAAATATTTTTTAAAGAACTTATTATAAATAATTCTATGGTATCATTAGTTTTAATAGAAAATGATGATGATTAACTATTGTAGAAGCTATTGTACTTATTACTACAGGAAAAACAGTACAGTAGAGTCCCATACAACATGGGGGATTCGTTATGCATTATAGGAAATCATGTTACCGAAACCTGCATTATCACATGATTTATGAAAGTTTAAACCTTGGCCTGAAAGTTGAAAAAAACGTATCCCTCTGATCGACAAAATTTGAGGGTGTTGCTTGCTTTATTTGTGTGTTGTATGGGACTCTACTGTAATTTAATTTTTTTACTTGTTCATGTTCATGTAGTCTGATCATCTGAATAATCTCTCTCTTTCTCTCAACTTTGTTCATATAAGTAATCATTAACTAGTAATGATTCATTCAAAGCTAGAACTTATAGTAACATTAATCAATATCTATAAATATAAACATCTAAATACAATAGTTATATTAAAACCAGACAAATGTCAAATTATTAAAATGTTAATTTAATTATAATATTTACAAATTTTTATAACTAAAAGTATGGATGTGGAGTTTGATACAGTAACTATAAATTAAGAACAGTAGAGGCATTGGAGATCTTTTGCACTAAAACCAAAGGGGATTGCATTAACTATAAAGAAAGCAAGACCTTGTCATTCATCTGGCAATCTGTCATCACCAACTCCTTGCAGGAATGGCCACATCCACAATCACACACAAGCATCTAATTAAAGTTATGCTGCTACAGCATTATATAAATAACACCTACCCACATCTGTCACAAAATGTATTTTTATGAATTATCCATATTCTAGCAGAGGTATCTAGTATTGCCAGGGAATTGTCTAATGGATTATCTGAAGGAAAAAGTTAAATTCAATGCTGGTGCTGTAGAAATAGATATACCAACAATGAAAGATGCATCATTTTTGTCATTGTCATTCTTTATTTTCTTTTTTTGGAATAAGTTTGGTTTTCTATTTTACAGAGATTGACTTATTTGCTGTTAATTTGCAGTTAAATTTGAATAATGGAATATAGCTACCATTTTGTGTTATTTAAAATGTTTAAATTTTGATTCTTTTTTGATTTTTGCTTTTATGAGATAAAGTATAAATACTACAATAAAAAAAGATTTCATTCAGAATATTAACCTAACCATAAAATTTAATTTTTGAATTTCATTTGTAGATTTTCTAAAAATAATACAAACTATTTCTAGACAGAATACTTTCTTAATGATTGTCATTCATTTCTGGTCTTTCAAGATGAATGGACAACAAATTTAAATTTACTACTTGTTTATGAAAATACAGTTTTTATTATATGCTTTCTTATCAGTTGAATTCTTATTGGACTTGAAAAATTAATAAAATCCTGAGGCTAATAAACTTCAGATTCAAATTCATCATTTAAGCAGATTGTATGCCCTGTAATCATCATTACTTGATCTGCCCGCCTAATCTGACATCTGCCTCTAGGGCATTTGCCATTGATCTTCCCTTCTAGAATTTGTTTCTCAAATCCATTTTTGCATCTGGAAGTATGTCCCAAGAAGTGACGGTAGGATTGGTATATTTTAGTGGTAAGGCGTGTTGTGATTTTCAGTTGATTTAGAATGGACCAATTTGTTCGGTGCTCCGTCCAAGAGATTCTCAGCATTCTTCTGTATGTCCATATTTCAAAGGAATCAAGTTTCTTCTGAGAAGTGGCATTTATGGTCCAGGTTTCTGAGGCATAAGTGGCAATCGGAAAAATAAGCATTCTTATGAGCTTTAGTTTATTAAAAATTGTGATTGTAGAATCTTTCCAAATTTTAAATAATTTAGAGGTTGCGAGCAAGGCAAATTCTGTGTTTAATTTTATTATTGTATCCTCCTCTATTTGTAAGGAGTGATCCAAGGTAAATAAATTCATTCACCAACTTATAGCCTGCAATTTCCTTAGTCTGTGTCAAGGAACGATCAGTTATCATAACTTTCGTTTTACTTCCATTAATCAGCAATCCATATTCCCTGCTCTCAGTTTCAAGACGTTTCATAATATATTCAAGTTCTCATTCATTGGATGCTATAATAAGTGTATTGTCAGCATATCTCAGGTTGTTAACTTTATGCCCCTGATGGTAATGCCTCCATCCCAGTTATCTAATACCCTTCTCATGATTATTTCAGAATAACCATTAAATTAAAGAGTAAATGGGAAAGAATACATCTGTCTTACACCAGTTTCAGATGTAAATGTATTAGACATAGTTTTGTTAACTTTTACTCTTGCAGAGTTATTCTCATATAAATTTCTGATCATCGAAATAAGATGGCACGGGACTCCCCATGTTCTGGAGAGCTGGCCATAATTCATGCCATTTTACCCAATCAAAGGCTTTGGTATAGTCTACAAAACAAAGGTAAGCTTTGACATTAAAAGCATTCAAGATTTGTTCACGAGTTCCATTACCAGAGATAAACCCCAACTGTTCTTCAGCTATTTCAGGTAATAGGAAGGGTTTCAAACAGTTATTAATTATTTGGAGCATTACCCTACTGGCATGGTTAATTAGGCTGATAGTTCTGTAGTTACTACAGTCTGTTGGTGCACCTTTTTTATAAATTGGAATAAATATTGATTTACACCATTCCTCTGGCCATCTCTCAAATTTCCAAATTAAGGAGCAGATTTTATGAAATATGTCAACACCCAGTTCTCCCATTGCTTTTAAAATTTCAGAGGTTAAGTTGTCAGGTCTCAGAGCTTTGTGATTTCTTAATGTATTTATGGCTTTTTCTGCCTCTGATTTAAGAATAGATGGTTCAACTTCCCCTGTCCATCCATTCTGAAGTTAATTATTACCATTTGTTTGTCTAGCGTCTTTATAAAGTTTCTCACAATACTTCCTCCAGACATCCGCAATCTCTTCCACATCAGTTATGATTTCATTTTTAATTATTTGTGCGTGTGGTTTGAACTATCTTGCTAGATATCTAACTTTATTGTATATTTCACGAGTCTGATTATTATTTGCATGGACTTCTATTTCATTGCATATACTGTTAAAATAATCATTTTTGTCTTTCTTACAAGCCTTTTTGATTTTTTTGTCTAGCTCTTTCTTCTTTTCATCTGTAATGATTGCTGAAGTTAATAATTTTTTTCCTTTCATCTATTAATTCAAGGGTACTATTTGTCATTCAGTGTTTGTGTCCATAAATCATTTGGGTTGTCTGTAAAGGATGAAGCAAATATAATTTAATATAAATATGTTATGACAAACGTTTTTGATCTCAATAGGATCTGCATCAGGTCAAAAATTTTAAGGATTTTAAAATATTTAAATTCAAACATTTTTGACCTGACACAGGTCCTGCTGGGATCAAAAACATTTGTCATAATGTATTTATATTAAATTATATTTGCTAGTATATTTTGAAGGTTTTGTTGATGTTATTTAACACATTTTAAGTGTTTTAATATTTTGTAATTTTATAAATGAATATATTGACTACATTGTAAAATTTAGATTTATGATTAAATTTAATTACAAAATTTATTTTCTAAAAATTATTTGTTATAATTAAGTAAATAAAACTTTAATGAGTTTTGACAAACACTGGTGTTCAGTGATGAAAATTGACAGAAGAGTTTAATAATTTATAACTTTTTCAGGGATAATAATTTTCAGACTTTTTAAAAATAATAGTTTAGATCTAGTTTAAATAGATCTAAATTTTGAAGGTCTTAACTTTTTGTGTAATTTTTTAATTTAGTCTAAATGCATTTTTAATTTAAAAATTCACAGAATAATCTTTTATAGTTTATTATCAATTATTATTAATTTCAGTACTATTATTTTAACTAATCAAGATTATTTAATTGATGGTTCTATTCAAGGGATAAAGATACCGATTATCTTATAGCAATTTGGTATAAATTTCATGTTATTTTTTTATTTTTTTCTATTTTTATAGAGAACTAAAGGAGAATTGAAAAAAGAATTAGCCGATTTACAACCTCCAGAAGTAAATATATGTCCACCTTCTCCACAAAATAATGCTGATGGAAGTAAAACAGGAAATCTTGTTCAGTTAGTACTTAAAAATATGGATTTTATACAAAAAATTATATAAAATTATTGAAATTTTTATAATTTAATAGTAATATATTACAGATTACATTATTCTCAATAAACTAGTATTTGTTTGAAGTTTTTAATTTTTAAATTAAAAAAAATTAATATAACTTAGATCAACACTGAAAATAAAGAAAAAAGTTACTGATAGCATTAGAACTTGAATAAAACAGGGAGGGAAACACCTTTTATCTTTATTATAGGTTGTCTCAAGAGTAAATAATTCAAACAGAATCAAAAATAAAATAAATGACACAGAACAATGTTAGAATATTGAATTTTTTAAAATTTCAAATATTTCAGAAATATAATCATGTAGTGTATTGGCAAATCTGGAATATACTGAGTAATTATTCCACAATTACTCAGCATGTTTAAAGCTTGCAACTTAGGAAGAAAAAAAATGCATGCAACCCACTAGAAGGCTATCCAATTCACTTGTGGCCTTGTGGCCTGCATCCAGAAAACTTTGCTCATCAACGATTTAGACTAAAGTAATCCAAAAAAGAACATGAAGTAAAAATTTTTTTTAAAATTCAGGTAAAACATTTGCCTACACAGTTGCTGTCTTTATTTTTCTTTACAGAGATTTTAAAAAACTGAAGAATTAAAACAGAAATGTTTGCAGAAATTATACTAAATATGAAATTAAACTATCTGAGTAAGAGCATTCCACTAGGAAAACTAGCATTCACTTTTCCCTACTAACTAAAAACAAACAGGAGTGGGGAGAAGGAATCAGTTTAGCATTGCTAAGTCTGAGCAGTGTCAATACTGAACTTTCCTCGGAACTGATCTAGATCTACATTAACCAAAAGCTGCACTGATCAGAACCACATTTATCAAGGATCATCTGAAGGGCTTGGTAAAAGAATGATCATTTTTACTAAAAACTGGCAATTTTAATTTTAAAATTTGACAATTCACCAAGCTGAAAGTATACATAGCAATAAAATTTTTCATATTGTAATAAATGCTTTGAACCTTTCTAAAGCTGAAGACCTGGATGATAATCACACAGTAAAAAAGTATTTAACCCTTATCATGAACATTATAAGATTATAGCAAATTGTCACAGTATTTATGGTATTCAGCTGGTACAAATTGCTTTAGAGTTTGCAAATTGTTTGTATTTTACCACAGGTAATGGAGTAATGCCTTCTTATGGGAAATGTGATTTTTATAATTTCCAGTTAATTTGACTTTCTTACACAATAATGCAATGCCCACAACATCGTATAATTTCTGTTTTGCCCTTGAAAAGCATTGCAAAAAATTTCATATCTTTTATATTATTGTCAAGATTGTTAAGATCATTGTTGGAAGAACAATCATATGGACTACAATTGTTCTTCTAACAACTGCATTTTCTTTACATTGCTTTAGAGAGGACTGTGATTGTTTTTTCACCAAACTGACTTTACTATTGCATTCTATATCTTTTAATCTACAAAATCGCAAATTCAGTTTTCAAATATATAAAATCCATTTTGATCATTCTTTCCCCAAACACTTCATCTGTACTTGGGACATTAAATAAATTTGATTTCAGAATGTTATTTGTCATTATCACATCTGTTGTTCAGTTGCTTAAAAAAATAATAGCTATGATTCTTAAATGAAAATTAACAATTGTCTCAAAATTAGTAATATCAGACACCATTTCAGCATTTTCAAGCTGAAATTTTAGTCTCAGTATTCTTCTTTTGAAGTTACGAAGAAAGAGATTTTCCTTTAAATAAAATGATATACAGATAATGATAATAATAATACAAACATGAATAATTTTGTGTGAATTTTAATTAAAATTGCTAAAATCTGAAGGAACTTGGAGATTTATTCATGATTAAGTATTTTTTTGAAATATTTTGTCTCATTTTCAGATCATCATAACACATTTCAAATAAAGAACAGTTTTAAATAAATTCAAATTACACATCAGAACTTATATTAATTTAAGTTATTTATTGTGCATTTTGTCATAGAACTAAGAAAATAATCAAATTACTTCATGTAAGAATAAGATTTTATATATATATATAGTGCTGTCTATAAGTTTTAGGACTTAAATTTTTTATCAGAACAGTAGTATAGCAATTTATCAGCTAACATCCTAATTAAGTAATAGCAACTATTGTCTGTTCACCTATTCTGCAGAGTGTTACTAATGTATGTTCAGAAACTTGCAAGTTAATATTTAGTGTAAACTGTTTTTCTGTTGCTTCTCCATGCATTCAAAAAGTGAACAAAGAATTGCAACTAAATTTTGTATCAAAGCAGGTCTTTCTGATACAAAAGATGTTTGGTAATGAAGTTATGAACCAAAGTAAAGTCTTCATGGTATTCACAATTTTGTGACAGAAGGAAATTGGTAAAAGACAACAAGAGAAGTGACTGTCTTTTGTTGATTCAAACAAATGAAAATATTGCCATTGCTGCTGAGTTGATGAAGTTCATTAAATAAAAATAATATCATTGACGATAACTGTAATTTTGAACATTCTCAAAATCATTGTTCTTTACATTTTGAATGAAAAGTTGAGGAAGAGAGAGTGTATGCTTGTTTTGTTCTACTTGCCTTGACAACTGAGCAAAGAGAAGATTGAGTCATGTCTTGTCAGGACAACATTACAATGGTGGATGCATAGAAAGATTTATTTTGACAAAATCTTTAAGAGAGATGAGATTTGGTATTTTGCTCATGATCTTAAAACCAAGTAACTGGATTATGATTGGGTTGGTGAGACATCTAACTAAAGAAACTGAAATTCTAAAAGTCATACAGCAGAACAATACAGGGATATATGTTACGGACTAAATGATTAATACGGTCATTATGAATAATGACAAACAAAATCAGGCACTGTAATAAATTTCAGTATTTTTATCATAATCTATCAGATTGACCAGTCACCATGAATACTGCTAACATCTGGTTGGACAAAGTGATGATAAACAAATAACTTTTTTAACAAACAAACAGCGAGATGGCAGCTAATGCCTCCCTCTAATACCAAATTGTTTCATAATTTATTAGTATTATAGCTGTCTTCTAGCTCGATGACATACGGCATTGGTTGGCTTGTAGTTTTAAAGTGATGATAATACATTGAGGAGTGATCATCTGACATACACCAGCCAATCAGCACTTGCATCTGAGTTGTGCATGTGTATTGCATTTAGTATCAAATTTTAAATTCATGCAACCAGTAGTTAATCTTGTGCAACATTTTAATTTTACTTTTGCCTCTTAAAATAGTATTTTCTTCTTTGAAAAAAGTAATGATCATAGACAATCATTAACTGCTTCAACAACCAATTAAATGAGTTAATAGCAGCAAAAGATCAAAACAGTCAAATTTTTACAAAATCAGTGTATTTAACAATGATACAAAAAGTAAGAGTCAAAAATCAAAGTGACTTTGAAGTTTTCAGAAGAATATCATCATTTACATAGATATGACATTGTATCTATTGGAGAAATAGAAAAATTAATTGTGTCTGTAAAAGAAGGTAATTTGATTAAATATTACATTCACACTGAAGAAATATTTCAGATATTGCATGATGACCATATTGCTATTGACAGTGGCAATAGAAACCATATGGAAAAAGAATTAAGTATGATATATAAAAGTATTACAAGGGATACAAGATAATTTACTTGAACTTATATAAAATCTATTAGAAAAACAGAATGTTCCAAAGAAAGGCTTGATAGTTAAACCAATTTTAAGTAATGAAATGAACTTGAGATGTCAGTCACAAGCTGATGAGCAATATAAATTTATACTGTTGTACCAAGACCACCTGACTAAATTCATTCAACTATGACCATTAAAAACAAAAGGGCTGAAGATAAAGCCTTTTATCTTATAATGTTCTTTTAGGTATTTTTACAATTTTTGGTGCACTGAGTATCCTACAAACTGATAATGGCAAAGAATTTGCAATAATGTCATCAAAGAACTGTGTAGTATGTGGCTGAGTTAAAACTTGTACTTGGAAAGCCCAAGCACTCAAAAAGTCAGAGTTCAGTAGAAAGATGTAATGAAGATGTAGAAAATATGCTTAGTTCTTGGTTGGAGACTAACAACACTAAAAAATGGTCAAAAGGTTTACATTTTGTACAACTGATGAAATATCCAGCACATCATACTAGTATAAACTGTACCTCTATGAGGTTGTGTTTGGAGCAAAGTTAAAGTTGGACTAAAGAATTTTTTACCTAATGAATCATTGACTAACATTAATACAGAGACAGATTTAGAGACTCTCTTTAAAACTAACAACAATGAACTTTTTATATAACAAAAATGACATATTAGAAGTTTCCTTTAAGCTGATTATTTGTTAATAATACTTTTCATTAACATTAGTTTAATTAATACAGTTAATAATACTTACTTTTAAAAGATCTCATGTTGTTTATAAAATACTTTGAAATAATTCACAAAAAATTAAAATTTTTAATGAAAAAAGTAGAGATTTAAAAAAGTCAAATTGTCCAAAGGGAATGTAGCTGTATTTATAATGTGAAGTCAATTTAATAAATTAGACAATATTTATGAGGCTGTGTGGCCATTTAGTCATTATTCATAATGGCTGGGCATTACTTGGTCCATACCATATATATTGTTTTTACTTCCATGACATACATAATTCATCAAGAATTCATACTGGAAGGGAGAAGAATGAATACAGATTTTATAAAAATTACTGAATTATCTCCTGAAATGCATTCAGTGTGTTTGTTCCATTGCATTCCAGTTCAAAGACTTTTTTCTTGTTGCACAATAATAGGATTGCTGACAACACTGCAAGTGTGTGTCAGCTTTTGACACAAAAATGAATCTCCAACCTTTACCATTCTCCTTGCTCAGTAGAATTATCTCCTCTGGACTATTTTTTATTTTCCAACTTGAAATTGAAACTTGAAGAACACCAACTTTCAGATGTTTCCACCATTCAAAAGGTTATGACCAATGAATTAAAACAAATTTTAAAAAAGGAATTTTCTGTGGCACTCTGAAAATTGGACAACCTCACTAAAGCCTGCATGTGCCAATAGATCATACTTTGAATTAAAAAAATGTATATGTATTATCTTTCTATTAATTAAGTTATCAACAACCGTGAGGCAGATAATAGTGAGGGCTTATCAGACCAGAGGGCTTATTGGTCTGATAAGCCCTCACTATTATCTGCCTCACGGTTGTTGATAACTTAATTAATAGAAAGATAATACATATACATTTTTTTAATTCAAAGTATGATCTATTGGCACATGCAGGCTTTAGTGAGGTTGTCCAATTTTCAGAGTGCCACAGAAAATTCCTTTTTTAAAATTTGTTTTAATTCATTGGTCATAACCTTTTGAATGGTGGAAACATCTGAAAGTTGGTGTTCTTCAAGTTTCAATTTCAAGTTGGAAAATAAAAAATAGTCCAGAGGAGATAATTCTACTGAGCAAGGAGAATGGTAAAGGTTGGAGATTCATTTTTGTGTCAAAAGCTGACACACACTTGCAGTGTTGTCAGCAATCCTATTATTGTGCAACAAGAAAAAAGTCTTTGAACTGGAATACAATGGAACAAACACACTGAATGCATTTCAGGAGATAATTCAGTAATTTTTATAAAATCTGTATTCATTCTTCTCCCTTCCAGTATGAATTCTTGATGAATTATGTATGTCATGGAAGTAAAAACAATATATATGGTATGGACCAAGTAATGCCCAGCCATTATGAATAATGACTAAATGGCCACACAGCCTCATAAATATTGTCTAATTTATTAAATTGACTTCACATTATAAATACAGCTACATTCCCTTTGGACAATTTGACTTTTTTAAATCTCTACTTTTTTCATTAAAAATTTTAATTTTTTGTGAATTATTTCAAAGTATTTTATAAACAACATGAGATCTTTTAAAAGTAAGTATTATTAACTGTATTAATTAAACTAATGTTAATGAAAAGTATTATTAACAAATAATCAGCTTAAAGGAAACTTCTAATATGTCATTTTTGTTATATAAAAAGTTCATTGTTGTTAGTTTTAAAGAGAGTCTCTAAATCTGTCTCTGTATTAATGTTAGTCAATGATTCATTAGGTAAAAAATTCTTTAGTCCAACTTTAACTTTGCTCCAAACACAACCTCATAGAGGTACAGTTTATACTAGTATGATGTGCTGGATATTTCATCAGTTGTACAAAATGTAAACCTTTTGACCATTTTTTAGTGTTGTTAGTCTCCAACCAAGAACTAAGCATATTTTCTACATCTTCATTACATCTTTCTACTGAACTCTGACTTTTTGAGTGCTTGGGCTTTCCAAGTACAAGTTTTAACTCAGCCACATACTACACAGTTCTTTGATGACATTATTGCAAATTCTTTGCCATTATCAGTTTGTAGGATACTCAGTGCACCAAAAATTGTAAAAATACCTAAAAGAACATTATAAGATAAAAGGCTTTATCTTCAGCCCTTTTGTTTTTAATGGTCATAGTTGAATGAATTTAGTCAGGTGGTCTTGGTACAACAGTATAAATTTATATTGCTCATCAGCTTGTGACTGACATCTCAAGTTCATTTCATTACTTAAAATTGGTTTAACTATCAAGCCTTTCTTTGGAACATTCTGTTTTTCTAATAGATTTTATATAAGTTCAAGTAAATTATCTTGTATCCCTTGTAATACTTTTATATATCATACTTAATTCTTTTTCCATATGGTTTCTGTTGCCACTGTCAATAGCAATATGGTCATCATGCAATATCTGAAATATTTCTTCAGTGTGAATGTAATATTTAATCAAATTACCTTCTTTTACAGACACAATTAATTTTTCTATTTCTCCAATAGATACAATGTCATATCTATGTAAATGATGATATTCTTCTGAAAACTTCAAAGTCACTTTGATTTTTGACTCTTACTTTTTGTATCATTGTTAAATACACTGATTTTGTAAAAATTTGACTGTTTTGATCTTTTGCTGCTATTAACTCATTTAATTGGTTGTTGAAGCAGTTAATGATTGTCTATGATCATTACTTTTTTCAAAGAAGAAAATACTATTTTAAGAGGCAAAAGTAAAATTAAAATGTTGCACAAGATTAACTACTGGTTGCATGAATTTAAAATTTGATACTAAATGCAATACACATGCACAACTCAGATGCAAGTGCTGATTGGCTGGTGTATGTCAGATGATCACTCCTCAATGTATTATCATCACTTTAAAACTACAAGCCAACCAATGCCGTATGTCATCGAGCTAGAAGACAGCTATAATACTAATAAATTATGAAACAATTTGGTATTAGAGGGAGGCATTAGCTGCCATCTCGCTGTTTGTTTGTTAAAAAAGTTATTTGTTTATCATCACTTTGTCCAACCAGATGTTAGCAGTATTCATGGTGACTGGTCAATCTGATAGATTATGATAAAAATACTGAAATTTATTACAGTGCCTGATTTTGTTTGTCATTATTCATAATGACCGTATTAATCATTTAGTCCATAACATATATCCCTGTATTGTTCTGCTGTATGACTTTTAGAATTTCAGTTTCTTTAGTTAGATGTCTCACCAACCCAATCATAATCCAGTTACTTGGTTTTAAGATCATGAGCAAAATACCAAATCTCATCTCTCTTAAAGATTTTGTCAAAATAAATCTTTCTATGCATCCACCATTGTAATGTTGTCCTGACAAGACATGACTCAATCTTCTCTTTGCTCAGTTGTCAAGGCAAGTAGAACAAAACAAGCATACACTCTCTCTTCCTCAACTTTTCATTCAAAATGTAAAGAACAATGATTTTGAGAATGTTCAAAATTACAGTTATCGTCAATGATATTATTTTTATTTAATGAACTTCATCAACTCAGCAGCAATGGCAATATTTTCATTTGTTTGAATCAACAAAAGACAGTCACTTCTCTTGTTGTCTTTTACCAATTTCCTTCTGTCACAAAATTGTGAATACCATGAAGACTTTACTTTGGTTCATAACTTCATTACCAAACATCTTTTGTATCAGAAAGACCTGCTTTGATACAAAATTTAGTTGCAATTCTTTGTTCACTTTTTGAATGCATGGAGAAGCAACAGAAAAACAGTTTACACTAAATATTAACTTGCAAGTTTCTGAACATACATTAGTAACACTCTGCAGAATAGGTGAACAGACAATAGTTGCTATTACTTAATTAGGATGTTAGCTGATAAATTGCTATACTACTGTTCTGATAAAAAATTTAAGTCCTAAAACTTATAGACAGCACTATATATATATATAAAATCTTATTCTTACATGAAGTAATTTGATTATTTTCTTAGTTCTATGACAAAATGCACAATAAATAACTTAAATTAATATAAGTTCTGATGTGTAATTTGAATTTATTTAAAACTGTTCTTTATTTGAAATGTGTTATGATGATCTGAAAATGAGACAAAATATTTCAAAAAAATACTTAATCATGAATAAATCTCCAAGTTCCTTCAGATTTTAGCAATTTTAATTAAAATTCACACAAAATTATTCATGTTTGTATTATTATTATCATTATCTGTATATCATTTTATTTAAAGGAAAATCTCTTTCTTCGTAACTTCAAAAGAAGAATACTGAGACTAAAATTTCAGCTTGAAAATGCTGAAATGGTGTCTGATATTACTAATTTTGAGACAATTGTTAATTTTCATTTAAGAATCATAGCTATTATTTTTTTAAGCAACTGAACAACAGATGTGATAATGACAAATAACATTCTGAAATCAAATTTATTTAATGTCCCAAGTACAGATGAAGTGTTTGGGGAAAGAATGATCAAAATGGATTTTATATATTTGAAAACTGAATTTGCGATTTTGTAGATTAAAAGATATAGAATGCAATAGTAAAGTCAGTTTGGTGAAAAAACAATCACAGTCCTCTCTAAAGCAATGTAAAGAAAATGCAGTTGTTAGAAGAACAATTGTAGTCCATATGATTGTTCTTCCAACAATGATCNTCCCTATAATTACGATTCCTATAAAACTACGAAAAAATATACGTATTTTGGAAATGTTGAGTCGGATTAGTGTAGAATCGATTAATTTTATGGAAGAAAACCTTTCAATCAGCTGTAGTCCGTAAACTTGACACGTGTCGGGCTGTGATTGGAACGACTTGTAAGAAATCGGATTCCTAATAAATTGGAACGTATCTATATCTTATAGGGGGGTCGACTGTACCTGTATTGTAAAAAAAATAATATTTTTTTAAAACATTACACTTTTAAAAATTCTGTGCACAAACCTGCAATAGCAACAAATAATATGAATTTATTGCAATTTTTTTATAAATATACAGTAATAATTAAACCATGATATATTAATAAATTGAACTCTACTGAATATTATTATTATTGTATTAATTAGTTTTTGTGATAAAATTACAAACCAGATAATTAATAAAAAAAATATAATTAAAATAAAAATTTTTGCAGTTTTATTAAAAGAATAAAATTTCAAGAATTATAAGATTATATTAAGTTTTTATTCTAATTATTTGATATAATTTTAAAATCAGGTGCATTTTCAGATGAGCCTTATTTTTTGCAATATTTCTTCTTTTGTAAGCCTCAAAGAATCTATTATTTTTTGACTTATGAAAGACGAAATGTTATATAAAAGAAAAAATTACTACTCACCACACCTATATAACAATCACATACACTGAACCAATTTACAGTGTGGTACTGATCGACCAACTTGTTTTTGTACTGGTTGGTCGATCGTACCACACCGTAAATTGGTTCAGTGTATGTGATTGTTATATAAAAGATTGGATCTTTAGATAAAATAATTATAAAATAGAATTAATGTTAATTTTGTATAGATTAAAATTAGGAAACTGTCAAGTTATAAAATTGTCACTTTCTGTCAAGAAAAATTTGTTAAAACCTAAGTTTAACTTGTTCTATTTGTTTAGAGATGCTCTGTAATTACTAAATTCATCATACATATCAAACTTATACAAATATAAACATCTATAAATCCAGTTGTTAGACTAAAGCCAAATGATTGCTGGATTACATCAGACTATATTGATGCTACTAACTACTAAATAAATTTGAAGTAATATGGTCTAGATGTAGGTGTTTGTTAGATACCATCTCTTGATAAATTTAATAATTAATTTAGAAGGTTCTGGAAGAAAAGAATTGGTCTGAAGTGAGATTCGAACCTACAACTCCACTTATTGTGTGATTACATTGCCAGTTATGTTGCCTAGACCTCCATCTGATCTTTATGACTTAAATTTATTAAGAGATGGTATCTAATGTTTACCTTTAGGCCAAATTACTTGAAATTTAATTAGTAGTTAGTAGCAATAATATAGCTCAGTGTAATCTAGCAGTCATTTGTCTTATGTCAGACTTATTCTGTAAATTTCAATTTACAAAATAAATCTGATGTTGTGCTGAATATTAATATCATTTGATTTTGTATGCTGCCAGATTTATATGTTGAATCATACTGTTTTAAGATTATTATAATAAAAATTATAGTTTTATGTTAATTTTGAATCAGTACGATATAGCAGTTGATAACATTTTATTGTTAATAAACTAAATTTTTATAAAGGTAAGATTACAGTAATCTTTTCTAAGTGGTACAAGTGATTTTATTGATGTAAATCTAATTATTTCTATGCCAGAAATTCTAAATCCCTGTGAATTTAAGTTAGAGTATTCAATATATTTATTATTGGCAATTGATTTGTTTTATTTCTCTTACATCTTGTAGAATACGTCGAGGAGCTCATTATATAGTAAATCTTCGTTATTTCGATCTCTTCATTATGATCATCATTTCTTTAAGTAGCATAGCATTAGCAGCAGAAGATCCTGTGGACGAAGATTCTGAACGAAATAAAATTCTCAACTGTTTTGATTATGCATTTACAGGAGTGTTCACAGTGGAAATGTTATTGAAGGTATAATTGGTTGAATTTTTAATTCATTTCAATCAAATTTTTAATATATTTGTTTAGAAAATAAATAAATTGTACAGAATAATAATAATATAATCACAATCAAAAATTCCACATTTTGATTGAATTATGATCAAAGCATGAATTTCTTCCATGAGAAATATAAAATTAGTTTTGAAATTGATAAAAATCTGATTTCATCATTTTTAAATAACATTAATTAATTGATAAATATCTGAAATGATTTTTGTCAGTTTTAAGTGATCAAGTGATATCACGTTATATCTGACTAGTTTAGAACTATTGAAATAAGGAGAAAAGTCAAAACTTATATACAGTTGTGTCTGCTTAAACGAACCTGTATGGACTGTCGGAACTGGTTCATTATAACCAATATTCATTATATCAGATAATAAATAAAACATAGTCTAATTTGGAAAAAAGTTTAATGTCTCAAAGATAAAATGTAACAAATCATTACATAGCTTTCTATGTAATAATTTGTTACATTTTATCTTTGAGACATTAAACTTTGCCCATTAAAAACATCAATATAAATGTGCATGATTACTTTTAAAACTCTGTTAGTTTTGTTTGTTGATTTTTGTTAGTTGTATAGCATTCTGTAATATATAGTTCCACCTCAGCAAAACTATTTGAAAAGTATTATGCATTTGTAAAAACTCTTGAATAACAATAGTGTTTTGTAAAACTTCATAAATTGGTGTTATTGGAATGTCAATATCATATGAATATATTGTATCACCATCTTCATCCTCACTAATTTCAATGTTTTTAGAAAACATCATAGCTATAATATCATCATCGGTCAAAAGTTCTCTACTTATAACACTGTCATCAAACCTGATATATTCTTCAAAATCATAGTCAGAAAATGTATCCTGTAACTGCCGAGGGTGCTCATCTTGAACACCTTTTGCTTCTTCATTCGTAAGTTTACTTTTAAAAAGTTCATTGATCAGAATGTTGTCATCTGAATTGAACTCTTTTCCATTAGTTTGTAGAAAGCCAGCATGTTGAAAACAATTTGCTATTGTTTTCATTGATACATTTTGCCATGCTATATGTATGAAGTTATTGCATCAAGAAAATTTATAGAAAATGATTCTTTGCTATTATCTATAGAAGTTGCCATTTTTGTAAGGAGAATTTTTGCTTCTTAAGCTGTGTATAATTCCTTGATCTAAAGGCTGTAGTTTTAAACTTGTATTGTGGCATTAACACTAGTATAATACAATGTAAATTCTTGATGTCAGGATGCACAGGGCAGTTGTCAACCAATAATAAAATTTTTAATTTTTTCTTCTCGGTTCTTCATCCCATTCTTGCAGTTTGCCACAGAAAATGTCAGAGGTCATCCAAGCTCTTCAGTTAGATTTGTAATTTACCAGTAGCCATCAATTTTTGAAACATCTTGGATTTTTCAATTTACTGATTACTAACAATTTTTTCTTTTCTGTTCCCATAAGATTTGCTGCTATTAGAACAGTAATTCTTTCTTTAGATAACTTTATCACAGCACAGCTTTCTCCTTTGAATTTTAGCATTCTATTTGATGTATGCTTTTAAAAAAGACTCATTTCATCTGTGTTAAAGTTATCACAATCTTAGAAATTTTCTCTAATTTTTGCCACTTATTTTGTAACCAGTCTTCTGCCATGTCTATGTTTACTGTAGCTGCTTCTCCAACAATTTTTCTGCTTCCAATAATATGTTTTTTCTGAATCTCTCGATTCAACTTCTACTGCATTTAAACTGTTCTCTTTTCCTATTTGCTTCCTAATTTTTCTGCTTTTGACTGCAATAAAGTACCACTAATAGTTGGTTTTCTTAACAGAGATTTTAAAACATATTTTAACAATACTTGATCTAATTTATCATGCACTGATTTTCTAAGCTTTTTAGCATTTGAATTATCATGTTTGAAACTTGTGAGTATTTTGACTTTTCCTTCTAAAAGGTAGTAACTGTCAATTTAGTTGTATTCATTTTTTTACATAATTTGCTTTCCTTCACACTGCTTTCTAACTTTTTAATCATTTTATATTAAGCCTGTAATGTAAATGATTTACATTTCTGTTTACACTGACTAGCACTAAGTCATTATTATTTCATAAAGATATATGCATAGAACTTCATAATTATGACTTAATGAGCGACAAGAGTCGATATACCTCGTGATTACATGCAGTTTGTTATTCTTTATAACCAATATCAGTGAATGGAATTTTTCTAACTAATAACAGCATAAATTTTAAATTTTGTGACGGTTTGGTTTTGAAATTCAAATTTGAAATACTGTATTTTTAGTTGAAAAAATTTTCTAACTAATGAAACAAAATCACTTAACATTTCAAAATTGAATGTATGCGTTTGGTTTCCTGCCCATTTAATTGTTAATAACAGGTGAGAAATAACATTTAAAGTTTAAATTACAGAATTAACAAATAAAAATTTTTGACAGTGTAAATTTTTACATTCATTGTTAATGGACTGGTAGATGAACCTCAGAAAATATTTTTGTGAAGTAAGAAAACTGGTACAGAGAGTATAAAAATTTTAATTTGTGATGAAAAATTAGGTAAATAAATGTGTGCATTAAAATTAGTTAATTAAAAGCAAAAATACCCAAATTAAGCAACATTTTCCATATTAGGTAATTTATGGTGATGACCCTTTACCTTTTGTTTAACCCTTTCATGTCACTCCCATCATATTACAAGAAAAGTTATTTAAAAACCCTAGTAATAACTCAAGAGTATTTTTTATATGCATAATCGATAGCTATACTTTTTTTAAACCCAAATATTGTTCCTTATGTACAGAAGTTCATTATATGAGTTTGTTGTAGCCAGAAAAAAATAACATAGCTCTTATGGGTGTTTCATTTGTACTTTTAAAATCAGTTTGTTATAAGTGAATACTACTGTATATATGTTTTTTTCTTTACAGACATTTTAAAATTTTCTTCTTTAATTTTTCTAATTTTGTATAATAATCATATTTCAAAGTTTTTAATAAAGAAGCTGATAATATATATTGTATGTAATAACCCTTTTTTTGTTTATAAGAATAATTTTGAATAAAATAATACTGAAAATAGTATTTACACTAAAATTTTCCCTTGAAAATATGAAATTTCTAAATCAAAAAAGTACTTTTGTATATAAAAGAAGTTTTTGAACATAAAAATAGTTAAAGATTATGCAGTATTATCATGAACTTTATTTACATATGAAATAATTGAAATTATTGTAACAGATATGTTATCATTTGATAAAAGTTGTCACAAAATATCATTTTCTATAATTTAATGTTAGTTAACATCTACTTTGCATTGCTTTCTTCTCAGAAGACAGTTTTTATTATATCTTAACATTAAACATTCTTTTAAAACTATCTTTGATTAAAAAAGACAAAGAATCTTAAATCAGCATTCTGAAAAAAAAAAAAAATTAACTGACTACCATACTTTACAGCATATAATATACAAGTTTTGTCAAAAAGAAGTCTAAAAAAATCACCCTGTCTTGTGTTTCTGTTTCAATCTTGTTGCAAAAGTTTGTAGGCTAATGAATTTTCATACAGCCTTCAGTAGGCTACAGATAAACTCATACCAAACTCAACTTTTGAATAAAAATGTTGTTATTTAATTAAACACATTTAATTAAATATTAAAATTATTGTTATTATTTGCTGTAACTAAACAGCTTTTGCATGTATTTTAATGGTAAATTTTAATTTTAAATAATGTGTTTTAAACTTTCTTTCCTTCTGATAAGTGAAAGTGCATTCTAAATTTATTAACAATGGACATAAATGTTAACTTCTCCAAATACAAGGGTTGGAATTTTAATAGTGATAACTCTAAAATTACATTTTGTACAAAAACATACTGTACTGTACATGTTTCAGATTTTTTACTGTCCTTCAACATAGTCACCAGCAGTATGTAAGACCTGTTGCCAGTGATGTGGAAGTCACAGGATGCCATCAGTAGAGCCTGTTTGGTTGATTGCCAGATATGAGCAGTCTACTGCCTGAATAATATATGGAACAGTTCTGAACTGCTTTCCATACAGTGGTTCTTTCATTTTAGGGATCAAGGCAAAGTCACAGGGGCTTAAGTCCACAGAATACAGTGGATGGTAGAGAACTTTCTAACCCCAGCAACTGAACAATGTAGCAACACATTGTGCTCGAGCATTGTCATGCAAGATGATGAGTGGGTTCTGCAGAAAGTACTTCTGCTTTCTTCTCAAAACTGGTCACAGGCTGTGTTCCAAAAATGTAGTGATACTACATGTTTATGGTCTGGCCTGGGGTACAGCATGTGTCAGAATAATACCATTGCAATCATAAATGAAAATAACTATAGCTTTCACCTTGCTGGAGTTCTGACAATCTGATAAAATTTTTACTTTTGTGGTGACCCATGACACTGCCACTTAATTGATTGCCATTTCAGATCTGGCTCATAAGGTTTTGCTCATGTCTCATTCAGCATAATGATACGGCATAAGTAAGCTTTTCTTCATGCTTGTAGTGCTCAAAGTGGATACGAGCAGATTCATATTATTGCCATTTCTTCACAATGTCTAGCATCATTGTATGTGACAACTCTGTCTTTTAAGCTAACTTGCTTATCATTTGGTGCTGATCTGTATCCAGTAACACGGAATTAGCATTTGCTTGTTCTTCACTTGCATAGGGATGACCTGGAGAGGCTTATCTTTCTCATTTTCACATACGTCATTGAAGGCTTTTACCCATCTCGCTATTCTTCTGTATGGTAATGTATATTTTCCACAAGCCTCTAAGAGTCCTTGGGGACACTGTTGTGCAGTATAACCTCTGGCACTTTCAATCTTTATCCAACTTTGCTGCCATGGAGCAGAAAATTTGGATAAAGATTGGATGAAGACACATGGAGTTGGATGGTAAAGTCCATTTGCTCTGAGGTTAGGTAGGTATATAACCAATTCTGGGTGGCATTAGCTGGTTGCATTGTATTGGGTTTCTATAACACTGTTGTCTCTATTAAATTTCCAACCCCGGTATATGGCTTTTAAAATCATGTTAATCCAATTGTGTCAATTAGTCCAATACAGGCAACAGTTTCCTAAATTGGACACCAATTAAATGTAATGAAAGATGATTTCTCTAACCCTACATATTACTTGTTCGTTCATCACTGAAATAAAATTAATTAGAGTAGTTTTATCTTCAGTACTTTCAGCAAATGAAATATAATGTATTTGAAGAAGTTTTAAACATTAAAAAAGACAAAAGTACTTTTTAATAAATTTTATTTTAACAATGTATAATAATTTTTTTAATGAATTGTTTTATTATTATTTGTTAGTTTCAAGAATTTTGGAGATTACACTTAATATAGTCTCACTTATCAAAGATATTAGATATTATCAGATTTTATTAGATATATGCTTTGAAAAAACATCAAAAATTATCATCTGTGATTCAATCAAAATATACTTAATTTATATTTTTTATTTGAGTCCTACAACTCATTAATTTTATTTCAGACATTTAAAGAGCAAATAGATTGCATTCAATATTTTTGATAAATATTTTAAAATAAAGGATGATTTTAAATTATTGTCAGTATTTCCATAGTCTAATTTTCCAACTGGAAATAAATAAACATGATTACAAAATATGAAAGTGCAACTCAAAAAGCTTCATTACAGTCGACCCCCCTATAAGATCATTGATTTTTCCGTTTTATCTGAATTACATGTTGTACGAGTCACTTAGATTTTACAAATACGTGTGCCGGACTGAAACCCAGCTCACATATTTGTAAAATCTAAGTGACTCGTACAACATGTAATTCAGATAAAACGGAAAAATCAATGATCTTATAGGGGGGTCGACTGTATATATCAAATCAATACTGCAGAATGCTAAACAATTTCAACATGTGCACCTTTTGTGGCACACACAATTTCCAAACGATAATCAAGTTTCTCCTCAGTGTTTTCCAGCGTTTGCATTTTCTTGGGTGTATGGAGTTGGAATGAACTGTTATGAAAAACTGTATGGCAAGCAAAGATAGCTTCAACAAATGAAAGGTTCTACTCTTCATTGCTAAAACCTACGTTATTTGTTAATTTCTAAATGCTGACTTTTAGATTTAAAAATTTGCTATAATTGAACAAAATTTTGAATATTATAATGCCATCATTTGACCCAAGACTTTCTGAATAACAACTAACAAAATTTTAGTTTTTATATGACAGTGTATTAAGATGAGTTACCAACAAATGTGAAGTAGGCTGTCTGATGTGGAATAATAATGTGATCACTTCATTAATATAACATGAATAGTCTCAACCCCTAACATTAGGGACAGCCATTAAGATAGTGCTTAAAATGAAAGATTTCCAGATGGGAGACAAAAAATCAGGAATCAGAAATTTCAATGACTGGTAGATAAGCAGGAAGACTAAACAAGAGATGGAGAGAAGAGTTCTGATATTAGTTTAGTACAGGTGGTTCAGCTTTAGTGTGGTGAAATGTAAGGAGCCTGTCCATCCTAACTTAGTGTTACATTGAAGCTTTCACAATACATTGAAGAGTTATAGTATTTGACTGTGCACTAGCAGAGGTGTATTCAAAGCAGAATAACAAGGATGATTGAATAGCCACAGTTTATAAAGAAGACATCTGAATCTGACTACGTGCTAAATTATTTCATTGATATCTTTATTGAACTATGTACAATACCTGTTTTAAAAGTATTTGTTTATTATTTACCTGTTTAATTGATTTATTCTTCTTATTTGTATTATTGAAACACATATTCACAGTGTATATGAAAAGTGTGTTAAATTCTATTAGCTTGGCATATGCTGCTATCAATAGTTTAATAAAATTTAACAAGATTATTCAAAATATATATTTTTTAGAATTTCCATGCTAAATTTTCAACAAGAATTAAACCCATGAATATTCAAAACAGGGTGATTTTTCAAAATAAACATGAAGATATTGATAATATAATATTATCCATACATAAACTAAGAAATAAAAATAAAAAAAGATAATACACAAATAATAATATATTATTATTTTCATGTTTATTATAATTTTTGTATACATCTCAAACATTAGTAATTTAACGATAGTTGTAAATTTGTTAATGTTTGAATTTATAATGTTGGTTGGTTAAATTCAAAAAGTTATGTACAAACAGTTGTTTTATTTGAATTATCAGAACATGAAATGTCTGATTATCAGAACATGAAATGTGATTGAAAATCCTGAAATGTGTTTAATCCAAATAAATTTCCTGACTCGTTTAACCTTTTCAAGTTTCAATAAGAGTTTTCTGATTGGAAGACATGATGCAAACTCTCTCTCTCTCTCTCCATCTAATACAAAGTTTGGAGATCTGAAGATAAGTTATCTGATTCTTCTGATGATAACTGAGTAATGATGGAGTAATGGAAATCAGTCAGAGTTGGCTTGGTGGTTGATAACAATGGATAGTCAAAAGATTGAAATTCCACACAGTTTGATTTTACCAATCTCTTTAAGTTTAAACATTATTTGTTGGTCGGACAGAAGATAGATGGAAACTGAGGACCTGATTTTACAGCTGGTGAGTGATGGGTAGCAGATAGTTGGTCAAAGCTACAATTTCTTGGATCCACTCTGCTCTTTTTGATTCCTCTTAAAATATTGTCTTTTATCATTTTTTCTTTATTTTACTGGAAAGTCTTGTCTGGATGTTACATCCTATATCATCTCAAATTTGGAAAGAGGTTTTTCTTTCTTCAATGGCCATTCAATCAGATTCTTACTAATAGCATGTGTCGTCATTGTGTCACCAAAGTATTGATGAGCTATCTTGCATGGAAGTATTGTCATGGATAGTTTCTTCTTAGGTTTTGATTTAAATTAAAGTCAAAAACAAATTATATTATAGATAAAATATTTTGAACTCCCATGTGATCTGTAAGTTAGAATAGTCCTGAAATATGTTTTATATAGAAGTTGATTGCATTTTAATGGTATTTTTTTGGGGCAAATAAGTTTTTGTTCTTTTTATTTACACATTCTCTATGTAAAATTTTATTTTTTGCTTCTGAAATTATCATGTATTTTGATTTATTTATATTTAGACCAAAAGTTTTACACCTTATTTCCCATTTTTACATTGTGTACACTTGTTTCTCAAGCTGTAATATCCTTGCTAATGATCATATTATTGACTTTTTTTTTTTAATATTTTCAACATATTACCCATTGTAATAATAAACAGGATGGATGAAAGTATACACTGCCTGGATGGAATACCTTTGTGTCTTCCTATAACTACTATTAGCACAAGTTTGGCAACTTTTGTATATATTTTTGACTAAATTAATACAATTGTCTGGTATTTCAATTTTCCATACACACCCATATTTTATCATGTTCCCTTATTGGTATTTGATCAAAGATATTTTCTATGTCTATAAATATAATGTATAAAATCTTTATTAAATTCCATCATCTCTCATTGTAGTTAAGGTAAAGATAAGATCAGTTCTGTTCTACCACTCCAAATTAAAGGGTTCTATCTCCAAAAAAAACTGAAATCAAGTTGCACACTTGATTTCAGTTTTTTATCATACTTAATCAGCATCCTTTGTTAATACTGCCTAATTCCTAGCATGAAAAATGTTGTGTAATTGCTACAGAATAATTCAAAATGTTTTCTTTTCTTTCACTGCCATTTTTGTTCATTTGTTTCACCATCTTGTTTCCTTAAATTACATTGGTTTTGTTGCATACCTCAGTTGCTGAACTGACTAAAATATTTTTAAGTGTTCCACTCATCTTCTACATTCTGTTGTTGCATCTTTGGTAAGTTTCTTATTAATTTTTTCAGGGAACAGATTCTATATCTGGATTTTTTTAATTTCCATACTTTGATTTTACCTGTAGTTTTATTTTTTCTTTTTTAGAAAGTTATCTACTGTACTGTAATTTTTGAAAAAGGTAATCTATGGTAACTATCCAAAGCCACTGATTGTATTACTTTGATATCTCTAATTTTTCTCTTTCATTCCTTTTAAAAGAGTGTACGAATAATTTGATTATTATTATTGTATAATTCTATTATTGTTTCATTTTTTCTGTCCCAGTTGTGTCTAATATATTTATGGTTTTCTTTCGAAATCAAGTGTTTTCAATGTAGAATGAATTTTTAGGCATTTGTTTCATTCTATCCACAATCAATCAATTATACTATCCTTGTTTAATAAGTGAGAATTATTTGTAGGCTTTTTATATGTTCATTTAATAAGTTAATTTCTATCACATAACATTTTTCTGCTTGGAGATTAGAATGATTTATACAAAAGAGCAATCATTAGACAACAGAAATTATAGACCAGTTGCTTTATTTCTAAAATATGAGAAAATTTTTTGTTGTGATATTAATTATAACAATGAATAAATAATTAGGATTAATTATATCATCTGATATTATTTAATTTATGTTCAAAACAAAAGTGGATATTCAGAACATTTTAATGCTATTCTCAATCACCAAGTCTATTTTTGAGTTACTTTCAGTTTTTTTTTATTCAGACCGAATTTAATTTATCTAAATTAGATATTAATTTGGTTGTTATTTAATGGAATATTTTAGGTAGTGGACCAAGGTATCATACTTCATCCAGGATCATATTGTAGGGACATATGGAATATACTCGATGCCATTGTTGTTATTTGTGCCTTGGTTGCCTTTGCCTTCACGTACGTATCTTAATAGTTAAATAATTCCCAGTTTTGCCCTGTATGTATAAATCACTATATTCAGTAAATGAGTAGGTGTAGTGTTGTATACTCTGTTGTGAATCGTCTGTGTATATATGTTTTGTCTAATTTCCTCTATATGCTTGCTATGACCATACAGTTCGAGGTGAGTCTATTCAGTGTTCAGCAGGCAATGCAATTAGAACTCTAATGCATTTAGTGCCTCAAATAACTTGCTTGAATTTATATATTTTCCTAATATCTTAGTATTAAAGCTGTTTATGTAGTTTGCTTCGTATCCTGCTTGTGCCTTCCTTTCTCATATACAGTAATATTTAATTTTTTATAAAATTAATAATTATTATATTATATTATGTTATATTATAATACATTTTAATCGGAGTATTTTCATATTTCAAACAACTTTAGGAAAGGTGGTGCAGGTCAAAATTTAAGCACCATTAAATCGCTTAGAGTATTAAGAGTATTGAGACCATTAAAAACTATTAAAAGAGTACCAAAACTAAAAGTAAGTTCAATTTATCTATTTTAATTTTATTTTAGATCAGAAAATAAGACTTTTAATTTTTATGTGATTCTATTGATTTTTTTTCTTTTATAGGCGGTGTTTGATTGTGTTGTTACTTCATTAAAAAATGTTGTAAACATACTCATTGTGTACATATTATTCCAATTCATTTTTGCTGTCATTGCAGTTCAGTTATTTAATGGTCGGTTTTATCACTGTACAGATTCATCAAAGCTAATTCCAGAAGATTGCCAGTAAGTAATTTCATATTGCACTTTTTAAATTTTAATTTTTATGACACATTTTTATAATAACTTATAAATAAATATATAAGTTATTATGAAAATGTTGTAAATATATTATCCTAAATATATTTCAATTAAAGTTTAAATGGCATATTGATGAATGTATTAAAATTTTATATATTGTATTGTTAGTATAATATGTTAGGTAACTCTTTTCAAAGTATACTATAAAAATTTTGTTCATTGTTAAAATTTCATCCAAATTTTAAAAAAATTTCATAAAATTCTACTTAACATTATTATTTTGTATCTTTCTGTGCTGTCATAGAAAACCTTCAATTGCATAAAGGATCTTTCTGCTGGTGTCATGGAAGATTTTCTATGACACCAGCAGAAAGATCCTTTATAATGAGACAATCTTTTAAACTCTGAAGCATTTTTTTGATCCAAAGAAGTCTATTTCTTCACTTAAGGGAATCTTCCTCTATATTAGTGTTTCTCAACCTCTAACGAATCGTCACCCCTTCAACGTAGTATCGTCCTCTTCACTACAAAATTCCAATGCCGAGGGACAAGGCTAACACCAAATTCGTACTGCATTGAATAGACTAGTGACTAGTATAATGTTATTTGTTTAATTATTGTACAATATAACGAATAAAATATCTAATTATTCTTAATATAATATTTTACTATATCGCCCAGAAAATTGTTTTTCACCCCCAAAATATAAATTGTTACTAATCACCCCGTGAACATGGAAAAATGCCCACATGGGGGAGATATTGCCCCCATTGAGAAACACTGCTCTATATTCTGCTTTTGTTCATGAACAATCATAGGAAAATGAAAAAGAGAAAATGCAATTGCAATTGCAGCCACTCTATGCTAGAGGAAAATTCCTGTCAAATAAAAAAACAGACTTGTTTGGACCAAAAAGTACTTTAGAGTTTAAAGGACATCTATGATTCTAGCAGAAAGATACAAAATGATACTCTAAGAAAATGTGTAGGAAGCAGGAGAACTCACTAACATTATTATATTACAAATTACAAGCATTAAAGATACTGTGGATTCATATCAAATTATACTACTAATTATGAAACAAATAAACTCTCTTTGGTACTAACAAAAAAATTGACTCAAAAACATTCTAATCACAAGTACTTTTGTACTTGTGAAAATTGTCACATTATTCTTTTCAGATGAAAATAAATTGGATCTTTTGTTTGCCTGAAAATGATATTATTACAGTTTATGAATATTAAACTGTCATATGAAACTTGTGATTAAAGTGTTTTTGAGTCAATTTTATTGTTTCATTACAAATTACAAACCTTACACTGATAAGCTTTAGTTTAATAATTCCATATTTTTAACAACACAGATCAAATATATATATGAGTAGACTTTATTTCTTCTTATTATTTTTATTTATAAATTTATGTTTATTATTTAATATAATAATGAAACATGATCTAAAAATATTCAGATACATACTTATTTTATTCTTTCAACATTTTGAAACTGTTTAATAAATATGCTTCTGCCGTCTACTTCTTAGTACATTAAATTTTAGAAACAATAATAGCATCTATTCATAAACTAAGAATTGTAGACATGACAGTAGAATTATGTCTGTCTTTATATTGTATAGAAATGCAAAATGTTTACATTTATATATATATACATACATACATAGTTTAACTCAACTGATTAATCTTAAACTGATAACTATTATTTTATGTCTATAAAATGATACAGCTGCTTGAAAAATCTTAATCTAATTGATTTTGTATAACTAAAGTAATTTGGCAATTAGATTTTATCACGAGTTTTTACAAGCAAGTAAAAAATATGTAAAAAAATGTTTTTATGACAATTAACCAATAAACTACTGTCCTGAAAACCAGCAGAATGATAAAAAACCAGACATTAGGGAATATTTTTCTCCATATTAAATGGACATCTTCAGGATTTTAACATTCTAAATCTGAATTGCATGAAATAATATGGAGGAAAACATTAGAGAATGTTAGTTTCTTACTATTGCTACTAGTTTTTGGATTTTGAGACAGTAGTTTATTTAAGATTAACCAGTTTTTAACAATCGTTGTTTGTGCACAATTAATTAATTTGATTGTGTCATACATGTCAATAATAGTAATGATTAATGAGAAAAACTCTGTTTATGATGATAGAACACAAGTGGCAATTTTGTATTATTTGCCTGAGAATGATGATAACATTAACACAAAATTTTTAACAAGTTAACAAGCTATTGAAGTACTTTTAGAAATATACAAAATTGAGAGAGTCTCTCTCATTAATCATTACAATTAATTACAATTAATCAATTCAATTGCTCCTTTACCAATTCATTCAAAACAAAACATAACCTTATGATTTAGCATAGTTTGCTTTGAATTTATGTGTTGGATTATAAAATTGGTAGCTTTGTTTGATTTTACTTCATTTGATTTTACTTCATTTGGTTCATTTGTTTTTCTTGTGCAAACTTTATTATCATGTTGTTTGCTATTTACACACAGTCACATTAGAAACTTGTTTTTGACTAATTTTTTTTTTATTCTTTGTAATATTGGAATTGAAACAGATTTTAAAGTTTGCTCTTAAGTTGAGCAAAATGGTAAATAAAATTTTCAACTTGAAAAAAAACGAAATAATTTCTTTATCCTATATTTGCTTTATCATATTTTTTGAATAGCTTGCAAGATTTTTGGATAGTTATGTTAGAGACAATGCCTTCTGAAGATTCTAGACAATGGTTCAGATTCAGTAAATAGTTGAAAAAGTATATAGAAGTATAAATTCCTTATATTGTATAGTAAATAAAAAAAAAAAAACGTTAGATATGTGTTGAAATTCTTTGATTAAAAGAATTTATTGAATAAGCTGCAATTTGGAAAAAGAGAGTTATTTCTTACATAACAATATATGGCTTTATTCTGCAGCCATGATTAAGAAGTTTTTGTCAAAGGGATTGTAGAAATAAAATTAAATGTAGAATACAAGCAGTCTAAAAAATAAATCATAGAAATAAAAAAGTGGTTAAATTGATTTATTAAATGATTACTATACAAAATTCAAATTAATATATAAATGATCTTGTATTGTTTTGTAACATTAATAAAAATATTATATTATTGAATAAAATTGTTTTGAAAAATTAGTTTTTTATATGGACTCTTTTGTTGATATAAATTGTTAAGATAATATTTATAAGGAATTTAAATAGATTTACAAATTAATTAAAAATACATCATTATTTTTTAGTGGAAAATTTTTTCAGTTTGAGGAGCCTGGAAAGCCTCCCGAAGTTGTACGTAGAGAATGGAAAAATCATGATTTTCACTATGATAATGTTATGGCAGCTATGTTAACATTATTTACTGTACAAACAGGTGAAGGTTGGCCTCAGTAAGTATAAATATGAATTTATAAGAATGTTCTTAATTGAAATATTTGTTAATAATTAAAACCATGTTATTAATTTCAATAACAAAAGTATATAATTTATAATTTTATTAACAATTATTAACAATTATTTTATTAACAATTATTTTGCTTATTTTAAGGGTACTTCAACATTCCATGGATGCTACACGTAAAAACTATGGACCGTTACCTCATTATCGAGTTGAAGTCTCTATTTTTTATGTCGTATTTTTCATTGTCTTTCCATTCTTCTTTGTCAATATTTTTGTTGCCTTAATTATTATTACATTCCAAGAACAAGGAGAAAAAGAATTAGAAGAAGGAGATATTGATAAAAACCAGGTATAATCAAATAATGAGGTATCATTTTTTTGGTTAAATGCATTAAAAAAATTGATTCTCTTAGTAGTTAGTATTACTAAGCACATAAAATTTAATTTTTAAGATGTAATAATGATATAAAGTATGAAAACAGTTATATAAACTTTTATTTGAACAGCATTTAATAACAACACATTTCTGAATAATTAGAATTTTTTTTTTATTAATTGTTGCTTGTATAAAGCAGTATATAAGATGTTTCTGTAAAGAAAAAGCAGTTTTTATTTCTGTTTTAAAAGACAAACAAGAAAATTTATCTGAATTTTTAAATATGGTTCTGATTTTAATAACATGAATACATTGAAATGATTAACAATGTTATGAATCCATTTTATAGGATAGCTATTTATCAAATATAGATATAGAAATTATTTATAAATTTTAGTATTTACATATTTTTTCCATATGAGAGTTTTAGTCAACTTTTAATAATCTACTTCAGAATTTTAGAAAATTTTTGATTGTTTGAATAAAAATCAAATATCTATACACAAATTTGAATAATATTTTCTTAATCTAACTAAAATCATAAAAAAAAGAATTGGAATTGTTTGTGATTTTAATTAGATAAAGAATGTTTTAGTTATAATCAAATAGCATCTAACTAAAATCATTTTTATTTAATAAGTATTTTAATAGAAATGAATCAATATTTAATCTATATAAAAATTTACTTTAATATAACACAATATTATTAACATGCTAAAGAGAATAAACAACATAAGAAACAAATGATAGACATAAAAAATTTTAATTAAAGATGTCTTTTTTTTCTTTTAGAATGTTGATATTGCTATCCTAACACACAAAATATACACTATATAATAAGTAAAAGATGATGTCATCTATCTATAGGGAAATATTATTTCATTGAAACTGATGAGATGAATAATAAGTATCAGTATGTCTTTTATCTTCAGCTGACTATAATAATCATGATTGATTAAACAACTTTTATTGAATCAGAGTTCTGCATAACATCATTATAATCTATTTTCTTATAGATGAATATAATTGACACTTAGAAATAACTTTTAAAGCTGTCAACCAGCAAAATAAAATAATTTCAAGACAATTCAAACAAATGAAAAAGTACTATATTCCAAATAATTTGATGACATATTTATAAAATAACTCAGTCAGCTGCTAAATGGAGAATAACAAATTTATTTATTTATAATTAAAAAGCAATAAACTTTATAAATAATTATTAATTTTATTATGAGATGGTGATGTAACCATTATCTTTACCCAAATTATTTTGTTTCAGATTATTAATTAGACTTAAAATAGCCTGATAATAATCTGGCAGATCATTTTGTTATGGAAAAATGAAAGCATCTTTCATTTGTTTCAAGCCAACAACAGAAGTAGGAGAGTAGAGCAGAAATGGCATACTTGTAGGCTTTGATAAAGCAGTCAAAGAATATTGAATCTTTGATCCAAAAACTGATAGATCAGTTATTTTGTATGTATTATTGAAAACTTTGAAACTGCAGTATATCTTTAAGTCATGACAAATTTGTTCCTAATATGGAGCCAGAGTGAGTGAAAGAATCAAGAATAACATAAAAAATAGATCTGAGCATGCTCATTCTCAAAGAAGATACTGTTGAGTCTGAAGTTAATAACACAGCTTTTTTTCTGTTGTTTCTAGTTGTGACATTTATATGGAAAGACAAAGGTGTTTCAGCTAAGAAATTACATACAAAGTTCAGGTGGAAAATTATACATGAATGCACATCCTGGTAAGAAATGATGTCCTTACTATCTTCCAGAAAAGATAAATTGATCATAACAGCAAAATAAAAATGATAAACATGCTATAACAACAGTTCAATACAATAGAAACAATTTGACTGAATGGATATTTGACTTTCTGAATGTTTATTAGTGTTTTGGTGGTGTTGTGAAGAGAAAATATATACAAATTATTTTATTAATAAAAAAAATATACCAAGATATGCAGCTTAATGAAATGAAATTTATGTAATAAATTTAAATTTAAAAAATCTGATTATTTTAGCATTAGAAATGTTAACAGAACTTTTTCCAGAAAAAGAAAATAATAAAAATTATATAGTTTATAGAAAATTATATAACTTATAATTTTACAAAAATCATATCAAATACAATTATAAATTTTCTTTCATTAATTTTTATCTCAAGTTTAAATTTAAGATAACAAAAGATAGATGATTTTTTAATATGTTAATGTTAACATAATTTGTAGAATATTAATTTTTAATGATATATTATTATATCATATTTATTCTAATAAACAGCATTAAATAGCTTTCTGTTTACTTTTATCTTGTAGCTGCACTGTTTATTATAGATCACTTACTCTTAGAGGGCAGCTATTATGTCTGTTCTTTGGAGATTGGGTACAACTATTAATGGATTAAATTTGTTAACTTTTTATACTTTATTATTATTATTTGACAACAATGCAACACTCAACACACTCAAACTTTATTTCAACTTATAGTAAGAGTGAAAATCTACAATTTTTCAGTTTATAATAAACCTGAGCTTACTGTTAGCAGATGCCATCTATAACTTTTTTCATCTTGCAGCTGCACTGTTTATTAGAGACCACTGCTCATTAGAATAAATATGGTAATTTTGATATCTATTAATTCAATTATAAAAATTATCTAGTGTCTATAAAGGATTAATTTAATACTGATAACATTTTATAGTGTCTGATTTAAATAATTCTTTATCTGTTTCTTTACTAGAAATCATGTATAGATTTTGCTATCCAAGCAAAACCATTAGAAAGATATATGCCAAGAAATACACATGGTATCAGTTATAAAATTTGGAAGATTGTTGTTTCAACTCCATTTGAATATTTTATTATGATATTAATTATTTTTAACACTGTTTTGTTAATGATGAAGGTAAGTTTGTAAAAATGCATTTAATAAAAATGTTTAAACATTTTGTTAATAAAATTCAAATTGATGGATACTTTATGTATGTATCTATATATTTGATTTAAATTTATCTTTTAAAACCTTGGAATTTGTTTCTCAGTTTAAAGATTTTGACATCTATGATTTACAATATGGTTTTTTGAATTTTATTTTTACAAAGTATACATGTGAACAACTTATATTATGAAACTGTTTACTGATTTTTGAATAACTACACTTCATCAACCTTTAACATGCAGTCTATTTTATTAACGTAATCTAACATTTTCAGTCAATTAATTGACCTTCTTCAGGATCGAACGAAACCGCTTATAGAACATTTTTAACTTTAAAAAAAGTTCTATAAGCAGTTTCATTTGTCATAAATCGAAAAATTGTTTGATGCTGATGAAGGTTAATTAATTGACTGAAAACGTTAATTACATTAATAAAATATACTGCATGTTAAAGGTTGGTAAAGTGTAGTTATTTATATATATATTTATTTATTTATTGATTTCCAGATTAGTTTAGTAGTTAAACTTTGTAAAAATAATTAAATAAATAAATATACATACATAGTATGCATCAGTAATGTGCACTTATGTATATAAATGTAATATCATATAAAATATATACAGTATAAATGCATAATACATTAGGTGATCAAACATAGAATTTGTTAATATAATGCTGAATCTAAAGCTGAAATAAATTTTTGAAGCAAAACTTTATTAACTTTGAGTTACTTTTATTTGGACTATTTTGTTTTGAGAAATTGTTATATTAACTATGTTGCAAAAAATTGGAATGAATAAATGAACATGATGAAAGTTACATTAACTTTACTCATTATAACATATTTTGTTTATTCTTTAATAAATATATGTATGATTGATCACTTATGTGAAATTTCATAATTATAAAATTATTATCTTCAGCATTAACTATCATTGCACTTTTAATATAATTTCATTGTTACTTTTAACATATTGACTGCCATAGTTGATAATTTGTTATTAGATGCCACTTAATCCATTTGAGACAAAATTGGCTGTAGGAAAAGTTGTTAAATTATCCTTGTAGCCTAAAGGCTAAAATCAATTTTGTCTTCTGGTACATAGAAAGAAGAAATTTTCAGAGCTTAAACAATTAAGTGGTCACCTATACATAATGACCAGTTTTTGAAAATACCAAATATTTTTCATTGATTTCAGTAAAAATGTTTTGCAATTAAACAGTCAACTGTTTGATGCAGTTAGCAATTTGCTACATATTTTCTAAATTGTGCAATTGAAAGACTGCGTATAATACAGCATACATCATGGATACAAAAATGATTACAACTGGAAGTACTTATTTCACATATATAAAAATATACTGTTTAATAAAAACTTGCTATCATATATTAAAATTTATCTAAATGGAATATAATTAAACAATAAATACAGAATAATTTATTCTAAAAATATCAATATGAATAAAATCTGTTTTCAATTATTGATACATATCCTCACACACACATTTGTTTCAAGATTATTTATGAATTTGAAAAATCTTCGAATTGTATTAAAATAAAGAAATATTCAATGTAGCAATTATTGCAGTTCTTGGTGAAAATTATTACATTATATTTTAATCAACTATTTTGTAAGTATTGTGAAAACTTAACCTTAATTTTCTGCATAAATAACATAAACAGTTTTGTATTAAACTTTACTAGGGATAATAACAACATAATTTAAACATTTAGCTATCATATTCATGTACATATAACAGCAAGCTCTTATATGTACAGAAATATGATATGTACTAACTAGAAAGAGCAAATAAATGGATGAAAGGGTGCCTAGTATTTGATTAACTGCACTTTATCATGCTTATGAAACAAAAAAGAAATATGATAGTTAATATATGCTTTTGTAAGTGAGACAAAATCAGCACTATATTGCAAAAAGTACCTTAAAGAACTTAATTTTTAAAACAATTTTTATAGTATTGGAAGCATTTTTTATTTTGGCTTTTTATTTTTAATAATAGTTTCTATAGAGATGTTGCCAAATACTTATCATATCTAAACATTTACATTTAACAGCCTCTTATATTGACTATTATAAGACAAAACAAGCTGGCACATACCCTTATCTCACTTCACTTACGTGTGTTTCAAAAATGTGAAAACAAGCCATTTTCACTTTTAAAAGCATGTTCTTACTGGCACAGAAATATGGCATAAGTTCCTTTAATAATGTTAAAATAAAAATTTTTAGATTATTATTTTTTCCACATAAAATATTTATTCTTTGTTTACACATAAACACATAAACAGATCTTATTATGTTAAATTTTAGAAAAACTTAAGCAAAGTATAATAATTTAAATAAATAATAAAGTTTTGTAAAATTTAAGTGAAAAAAGAAAAAAATTGCTTTTGTAATTAAAAGGTTACCTTTATTTAGAGGCCATTTTTTTGTGAAAGTTACCTTTTAAAGCAGTTTCCACTGTATAATTATTTCCAGAATATGTAATGCAGTGTTTTTGAGTCATCTGATGATTTTTTTTAGCATTGAATAACAAAACAAGTGATCTGAGTTGATCTATGCCAAACAATTCATTATTACAATCTTTGATTATATTTGGTTTTAAATGAACTGATCAAAAATTTTGTTTCACATGTCAACTAAGAGATAACTTGTGCAGGTGTTTTTGACAAAAATAAGCTTTGTTATATGCCTGGTTGAAGAATGCTTGTTATAAACTGAGCATTGTAACAATAACATGCCTACCTAAAAATAGTGTTTGAAACCTTTCACCTAATGACATTGTGGCAGTCAATATACTAATATAAGTTATTTAAAACAATAAGTTTAACAAAAAATTTATGAATGAAATAAGTCATAAGAGTTTTATTTAATTTAAAATAATTTATGCTAAAATTATTTAAATTTAAAATATAAAAACATCACTTTTATTTATACATAACATTTTACTAATAAAGATTTTATGTAAACTGGATTTAAAAAGATGATAATTTTATAACTAGTTAGAAATATAGTTTATTATTACAAATGAAATTTGATTTTAAAATAAATGGATTTATATTTTATTATTTATTATATTTTATTTATTAATTCATACAATGCTCTTTAAATATGCATTTATTACTATAATTTTTCTTCTAATATATTTAATTTAAAGTAATATGATTTATCTGTATATTATATGCTCAGCATCAGTGGCACACTTAAAATTTAGTCTTGGAGGGAGCTGAGTTAAATGGATAAAAAATTTTTTATGCGAATTCAATAAAATTTCCATCTAACGTGACTGCTAATTTATTAGTAGTATAGAAATAGAAGACATGACCCAATATAAAAAAAAAATGAATTTTAATTAGGAAAAGGCTTTTGGAAAACTCACTAGTGTTATTTTCCTTTTATTCTAGGGGGGTGCACCACAGCATAGCATTCAATTTACCTCAAAATTTTAATTCTGATTTTTTTTTATTCAAAAAGAATTAATTGTGATATTGATTTTACAGAATGTTATAATAAGAAAAATATTATTCAAATAAAGATACAGTAAGTGAGGATATTCTTTAGTTGTAATTAAAACATTATAGCAATTGAATCAATAAAGTTTATAAATTAATATAAAGCTTAAAAAAAAAGCTTAATATAACTTGAAATTTAAATATCCATAATTTTTTTTTTAGTTAAGAGAGTGATACTTATTCAAAATTGAGTGAATAAAAGATTTTGTATTTATTTATAAGAAATTACTAATCAGTATCAATACAATTAAAATAATGCATCATAAAAATCCACATATATTAAATTTTTTATATGTTTAAAATTTGCTTATACTTTGTTTTTAATTTTCAAATTAATCAGGTAAATTTTAAAAAATTTAGAATGTTCTGTCTAAAGTATAATCTGAATTATAAATGAAAATTCATCTAGACATTTAAAGAGGATATAAGGATATGACATCCAAACAAAACCATCAAATAATTTTATAATCATACATGAATAAACTAGCAATTTATTCTTTTTCTTCCTTATGATTTAAAAATATTTTGGCTGATATAAAATTTTTATGAATTCTTCTAATAAACTGGAACAGAATTTACAATATTTTTCTTCTACGAAATCAATCAATCAGAAATCACATTAATTGATTTCTATGAACAAAAATTTTTTGACCGAGAAAAGTATAAGATATTTTTGATAAAAGTAATACGTTAACAAGAAAATTAATATACAGATTAAAACTTTCATTCAGAAATATTACAGATTATTGTTTATTTCGATTAATTTTAATTTATAGAAAAGTAATCTTTGAACTGCATCAAATATTCTTGTGTGTCCCCTGGAATACCATATTAAAAACCAAAACTTTGAAAATGCATATTTAATGAGATCATCTTTGATTGGACATTTGGTATATCATGATATGTCAATTTTCATATCATAAATGTAATTAATTATATTATTGTAATTTCAGATAAAAATTATATTAGTAATATGTTTGAAAAATTTGTACATTTTTTTTTAAATTTATATTATATAATAATAACCAAAGTATTTGTTGTTATAGTGTTTTATTCAATATATCAATTTCAATATTGTACAGGTGAAATCTCATTATAATGAACGTAAAGAGAATTGTCAGATCATTTTATTCAAAGCTGACATTACAAAATACAAATGAAGTAAAATAAATGGTTATGACTGCTAAAAATAAACCTTCATAACATATACTATATTATTTATTAGATTTAACTAATATCATTAACATTTAATTAATAAAATAATGTTTTTAATTAAACTAGAGTTATTGAATATGAGAGATTTGTGCACTTTTAATAATTGTATTATAATTTTAGGTGATGAAATTATTTATGCTTACAATATACAATAGAATCTGTGTAATCACTTTACTATACTGATAATTATTTATTATTATTTTGGTGTCAGTGAAGT